TTCCACCTGCTCTGGCTCTGGATGTTGGTTTAGTCTGTTCCCACCTCAGATGAGGGTTCTTCCAAAGTTCCCAGGGTTTTAGTCCACGTGTGTCCGTGGTCAGTTTTGCCTAAGTGAGCGGTGCCTCACGGTGAGAAGTGCCAGCCCTTCCCTCTGAACTCTGGCCAGTAGTAGGGGTGGGGGGGTGTCGGGGTGTCTTTCGGTTCAGGTATTCTCCAGGTGGCCGAGGAAGCAGTTGAGGGTGTGGCTGGCTGGCTGGGTGTGGCAGGTCTGAGCCCGGCAGCAGCCAGATAAGGTGGGACAGGTAGGGGGTGGGGCTTCTAGAAGTCTTAATCCTAGCTGGGATGCAGGATTGGGCCCTTAAATTTTACGTCAAATGAGTTGAAGTCTAGGTGCAGCAGCTGGGTGAGGGCTGTTCCCCTAGACAGTGAGTGACATCCCCCCCCCAATGTGAAATGGCAGGAGGTACCTGTAAGGTAGTCAGTTACTACTGGTAGTGGGTTTTGAAATAAATGTATTCAGCATTTTTAATTAAACAGAAGACATCAGATGGAATCACTTGGGGAAGGTTTCCCAGTTTGTTAGGGTATGCTTGGATGGTGACACATTGTAGAAAATGGCATTTTATAGGTCGTATTTAGGAGAGTGTATGTGCAAAGGGTACTCCCTCTAAAAAGTAAACTTCTGATTGACTTGGGCAGGAACACTGGGTGGGAGGCCCTGACCCTAATCCCATCCGCAATGGGCAGATTTTTGAGCAAAAAGGAAACTGACTCTTTGGCTCTTCAGAGGACACAGACATCTGGCCCTTCCCACCAACAGGCCAGTGGTTGGGAGAAGGGGAGGGGAGAGCAGCGAGGCCCCAGGGAGGCCCCTCCCTGAGTCTCAGTGGCTTCCTTCCTCAAAGCCAGCGGTCAGGGGCGCAGCCTTAGCCTGTTGGAGTGGGATGCTTCATTTCTTCTGTAAAGGAAAGAAAAAAAAAATTAGTTTCCCCCCACTTCTTTCTCTCTAAGGCCCCTGATCTGAGAAGCCAGCTCTGAGGCCTCTTTCCCAGGAGGATGGGGCTGGCCTCAGAGCTGCCCCCAGGTGTGGGATCCGGCTATGCTGGGTTGGTCTCCGTCTCGGCTTCAGGCTCGCTGTGCCTCCTCCCAGTTGTTCGATCCGGGCTGCCATGGGCAGGCCTGCAAAGCTGTCACCCCAGTAAGTTCTCTGGGGAAAGGCTTTGGCCCAAAGGCCCTAGTGAGTCCTGATCCAGAGATTTTAGTTGTGGTCCCGAGAGTTTTTAGCCCAAATGTGGCTTCCACTTAAGCATGTTTCGTTTTGAATTTTTTTAAAAGATTGATTTTATTTTAGAGACTGAGTGCACACGCGTGTTGGGGGAGCGGGAGAAACTTTAGCAGATTTCGCTCCGCATGTAGCCCCATGCAGGACTCAATCGCCTGACCCTGAGATCATAACCTGAGCCCAAAGCAAGAGTCGGGATGCAGGCAGATTTTGTATTGAGCATTTAGTCCCCATGGGCCATCTGAGTCTCCATCAGCAAAGGTCTTTGTCCATGGCCCTGTCCCAAGCTTGTCGTAGCGGTCTGACCCACTGTCCTCTCTTCTGGCAGTGTGAGATCAAGGTGGCCCAGCCCAAAGAAGTCTATCAGCAGCAGCAGTACGGCTCTGGGGGCCGTGGGAACCGCAACCGAGGGAACCGAGGCAGCGGCGGTGGTGGTGGCAGCGGAGGTGAGTGGAACCTGGCTGAGCAAAGACGGGGCCCTGCCTGCACGGAGCCCCCGTGCCTGTCTGGGGAGTTCTCGCTGGCCTCCGGCGTTTGGTACACCAGGCCGGGCGGGTCATGTTGGCGCTGCTGTGGCTGCTGCTTGGTGTGGAAGAGCCTGGCTCTTGTGGCCTGGGGCCCCAGGGCAGAGGGGCCTTTGCATTGCAGTCAGGGTGCGGGGGTGGCGGGCTTGAGGGGCGCGCTGGGCTGGGTGGCGGGCCTGAGTCTCGGTACACCCGTGGGCGGGTGGGCAGAAGGTAGGGCAGGGCTGTGCCGGGCGCTTTGCCTCCTTCTGTCCAGGCCCCTCGGACTCCAAAGCCTGAATGTCCTCCTTTTCAGGGCCGAGCTGCCAGGGAGTGTGGGGGTGAGGAGAGGGAGATGTGAGAGAGTGAGCTCCTGCTTATTTGCCCCAAGTGCAGTTAGCCGGCAGGGCCCTCTTGGCCCTCAGAGCCCCGGCTTGGGCCTCAGATGCAGGGCGGGGTCCAGGGCCCCGGACACCAGCCAGCAGCCCCCTGGTTTCTGCCTGAGTTGCCATAGTGAGCCCGCCACCCGAAGGGCAGGATTTCCTCCATCCTCGCTCCTGCGTGTGCTAAATGGTCCCTGGGCCCCTGGGCCCTGCTCCCCCCACAGGTCAGAGTCAGAGTTGGAATCAGGGCTACGGCAGCTACTGGAACCAGGGCTACGGCTACCAGCAGGGCTACGGGCCCGGCTATGGCGGCTACGACTACTCGCCCTATGGCTATTACGGCTACGGCCCCGGCTACGACTACAGTAAGTAGGAGAGAGGGAGGCCCTGGCCGCTCACCCCCAGCCCTGGGAGGCAGGACAGACAGTGCAGGGGCCACTGGCAGCAGGGGCTTTGGAGTCGGACAGGCTGGGCTTGGGGGCCCGGCGCGGCCACCACGGGAAGAGGCACTTGAGCCTCTGGGCCTCAGGAAGGTGGGGTGCGGGCTCCGGCGTGGCGGTACAGCAGGCGCCTGGCTCGGGGAGGGCTCGGGCAGATGGCACCGCGACCCACGCATGGCCTTCTTGTCCCCAGGTCAGGGTGGCACGAACTACGGGAAGAGCCAGCGCCGCGGCGGCCACCAGAACAACTACAAGCCGTACTGAGGCCGTGGCCGGATGCCCGCCCGCACACGCTCTGTCCGGATCTCGAGTGAACACAATTATGTACCAAATTTAACCTGGCGTACTTTCTATGGCCTGTCCCATGTGCATCTTATTTAAAATTTCCCCCTTGGAAATCACTCTCCTGTTGACTATTTCCAGAGCTCTAGTTGTCGTAGGCAGCGTGTGGGGGTCTCTGAGGCCAGAGCGGCGTTGGAGGGCTAGTTTTAGGCCCGGGTCCCCCAGGGCCGGCTGGGAGGGTCCGCTGCCCGCCACCGCCCGCAGCCTGGACCTGTGGACCCTGGTTGTAAAGAGTAAACTGTATCTTAGGAAACCAGTGTCACCTTTTTTTCACCTTTTAATTTTATATTATTTGTGTCATACATTTCCTGTTAATGGAAGTGTTAATTTTACTGTACTTTTTGGTACCTTTTGGGAATCTAATGTATTGTAAGGTATTTTACACGTGTCCTGATTTTGCCACGACCTGGATATTGAAGCTATCCAAGCTTTTGAAATAAAAATTTAAAAACCCCCAAAGCCTGGGTGAGTGTGGGGCATGCTATGAAGAACGGGGAAGGGCCAGGCACTCCTGAACCTTCAAAGCTTTAGTGCCTCCATGACCGGACAGCAGTCCTGGCAGGTGAGCCCGGACGCCGGGCACTGCTGGGGCGCTGCTTGTAAGGATGGGGCCTGCCTAGGACTTGAGCCCTTTTAGAGGAAGTTTTAAAGGACTTCTGACTGGAGGCAGCTTCAAGGGGGTGAAGGAGGTACTGTGAGGGGTGCTGCTCCCAGAGCAATGGGGGCTGTGGCAGCTGCAGATTCCAGTCTCTCCTGGGCACCCGGAAGTGGGACTTGGTCTCCTAGCGGAGGACAGTGGGAATGTACCCAGGAAGGCAGTATCCTAGGGGCCAGCTGGACTGGACACAAAGTGCCCCCTCCTGGGTGGCCCAGAACAGTTTCGCCCCCTGTGGCAGAGTTGAGCTGCTGGCTGGACTGGGGCGCCCCAGGGCTGGTGGTTGAGCCCTCAGACTAGCAAAGACTTGTTTTCCATTCCTTCTAGAAGGAGAACTGGCTTGGGGAGGAAGGTGCTAGTCCTGCCTTCCCCGGCAGCTATGGGGAGATGTTTCTGAAGAAAACCTGGTTAAGAGCAAGGTTTGGCTTGCTGAGGGTGAGGGCCACGGCCATGGATCGTGAGGAGCAAGGCCTACTCACCCAAGGAAGGAGGACACGAGTGCCAGGGCTGGTTCAGGGCTGGAGCCTCAGTGTCTCACAACTTCTCACCTTTTTTTCCATGTCTGAAAAACAGCACAAAAGCCCCCCCCCCAAGTGCTTAGCCTTTCTCCAGCATCCAAGCTTCTTGGACTCCTTGTCCAGCCCCTTGACCATGTGCACAAACCACAGGGTTAGCAACACTCCCAAAAGGACAAAGCCAGACGTCAGTCAGGTTGCCCCAAACGTAAAGGCAAGCCTGTGCCTGCTCAGCCTCTCCTCCCGTGGGCTCCCCACAGACACCCTCCTTCCTCCAGGAAACCCACCTGCAGAGGTGGAGGAGAGGGAGGGGTGCCTGCCAGGAGGTGGGATTTTGCCCACTGCCCACCCCTGGCCATGCAGCATAGCAGAGACCTGTCCGCTTCCGTTGTTCCAGGTGGCCTGGTTGCGTTGAGGGCAGACCCCACACTGATCTGATCCTAGGGCGCTGGAAACGTAGGGAAGAATTTCCTTTTGCATTTCATCAGTCCTGGGTGCAAATCAGTCCAGCACCTTAGCTGCTGAGGGAGACACTAGCCTTCAAGGAGGGCACAATGTTCCTGCCCCATAAATCCCTGCTGTGTCACTAGGTGATTGCCTTGCCTCACGTCCACGCTGGTGCTACTCAGGCAGGATGGCTACTCCAGGCTCAGAAAGCCCCTCCACGCCCCAGCTCCTTGTTCCCTGCGCTGTCTCGAAGACTCCCGGCTCACTGTGGAGTCTCCTTCCCAGGCATCCTGGAAGGTCCTAGCTCCTGGCCGCAGGTTGGGCTCAAGAGACCTGTCAGCTGCTCCTCGGGCCCCCAGCTCACCTGTCAGGATAGTATCCATCTTTGCTACCACGTGTCGCGCGTTGTCCACACTGAAGCACATTGGGGGTTTAAATTTCAGGACATTCCGCCCAGGGCCGTCTGTGCTCAGCAAAATGTAGTTCTCTTTCAGCCTGTGAGGATAGGACATGGCAAGGCCCTGTGGCCCAGCAGCCAAGGAACCCTTCACAGAGCCTCAAAGTCTGTCCTGGCTTCAGCCAACCGGCCCCTGGGAGCCCCACCCCAGTCCAGGTCCCGCAGGGACACCACCGGCCACCTCCTCCTGAACTGCCTGCCTGTCCTTGTTCACCCAGCACTAAGGGCTCCTGTGTGGGGTGCCTTGCGCCTGGCCCCGAGCCCGCCACCCTCCATTCCCACCCCTACCCCAAGCAGGGGCCTCCGCTCATCCAGCCCTGGAATCCCGGCCTGAGCCAAAACAGGCCATGGCTAGGACGTGGCCAGCCAGCATTCCTGCACCGCACCAATGCTGCCGGGCTGGTACAGCGAACCCCTGTGCCCCCTCCCGGCTCCAGGAACTTCTCTGCCAGCCCCGGTTCTGCTTCCCGCCCCAGAGGCATCTGGACATCTCAGAGGACTCCGCAGTTTTCATTTCCAGTTCTTTCTAGGAAGATAGCTTCACCTCCTTAATAGTAGTGGTACCCTAAGGACATGTTTGCACTTCAACCTGGGAAGGTCATTTGACCAGAAAGAAAGGGTCTGAGGTGATTGTATTTACATTCTGACCCCGACTTCCATTCTCTCTCATTTATTCCCTGGGGCAGGGGTGGGGTCCTCCAGATGCCTTCACCCAGACAAGGAGCAGGAAGCCTGTCCGAACCAAAGAAAATGGGCTGCTGTGCCCATGGGGAGCCCCAAGTCTGGCTCTGCCACGGGCCCTGGCATGGCCGTGAAAGTAGCGGCTTCCCCGGGGCAGCCGGGCGCTGTGGGATGTGGCTTTATGGTCTCTGAGCCCCTGTGGCGCCCGCATCCTCGGCTGGGAACGGCCCACACCCATCCGAGGCCCTGCCGCCAGGCACTGGCCACCAAGCGGACCCGGCTGTTTTATCAGTGTGTGGTGTCGGGGTGGGGGTACCCAGAAGGGGGTTCCCTTCCCCGCTCTGGCCCTGATGCCAACTCCTGCAGGCAGCCCTCTGTGGCCCTGAGGGCCCAGGGACATAGTGGCAATGGCAAAAGCAGGACAGCAGCTCCCTCCCAGTCAGGGGACGCTGCAGAGGCAACTCGGTTCGAGAAGTAGTACCTGGACACCACGTAGTTCGCCTCCTCAGTTGCTGGTGTCCTGGTCGCTGTGTCTTTGATCAGGTCCACACCGATAAAGAGCCCGATGCCTCTGGAACGGAAAGGCGACATCTTAGGAAGCCAGGCTGGAAGGGCCGTGGGCCCTTGCCCTCCCCCTCTGGCTGGGCCTGCCCAAAGCACCAGTCCTGTGCCTCCGCTTCCTGGGGAGCCTGAGGGCTGCACAACCCTCGGAGGGTGCAGGGTGGTGACCCAGTGCCAGCAAGTGACTTTGAGGAGAGGGGCCCCAGCTGTGACAAAGGAAAGGTCGGGGGCCAGGGCCGTCTGCCCCTGGTATCTCCTTCCCTAGAAGCGCCATCTCGGGCAGCAGCACCCCTCAGAGCTTTAGTTCCTCCTCTGTGGAGAGAAAAGTCCCCATCACCCTGGGTGACAATGAGGTGACGAAACCATGCTTGGCCCCGGGCTGGTGTTCAGTTAGCAGGTAAGGAGTGCTGCCCAAGCCTCACCTGACGTCCCCGATGATGGGATGCTTGGCTTTCTGCTGTTGGAGGAGCTCCATGAGGACACTGCCCACAGAGGCAGCATGAGCCCGCAGCTGCTCCTTCTCTAGAACGTCCAGGACGGCCAGGCCCACGGCGCAGGACACCGGGCTGCCCCCAAACTGAGTCAGGGGACAAAGGGCGGGTCAGAGGCCCAGAGAAGTGGGCCCTGCTCCAGGAGCGTGAGGGCTGCAGAAGGCCACACACATTCCAAGGGCAGTGACAGGCACAGGCCTGAAGCCCATAGAACTCCGAGTACTTGGGGATAGACGGGGTTCTCCCGAAGCCCCCACGGGCTGTCCTCTCGCCTTTCCCAGTGCTAATGTGACTGGGACTCAGGGAAGCCACCCCAAGGGGTACAGAAGGAGCCTCAAGAGGCAGAATTGGAGGAGAGGGTGTACTCTGCATTCCTACAGAGCTGCCTTCCACTGAGAGGCTGTAAGTGGGGGGGGTGGCGTGGGGAGATGTCCCCTCCGGACACCTGGGAGCTCTGGTACCCTTCCTCCCACGGGCCCTGCAGGTGTCCGAAGGGGGACCTGTGTCACAGAGAGGGAAGAGTAAGGGTATCCTTTGCAGACCGTCTTTTAAATTTTTTTAAAACTATATTTAAAAAGAAAACTTTACTGAAGTAGAGTTTACACACAATAAGCTGCAAATATTTACAGTGCATATAGTTCAGTGCGATGAGACAGGTACGTATACCCATGGTGCCCCCACCACAATGAAGAGACAGGACATTTCCATCCCGTCCCAAAGATCCTTGTGCCCCTCCACTGCTGGCTCAGGCGACCACTGACCTGCTTTCTGTCACCATAGTTTTGCTGTTTCTGGAATGTTCTCTCTTGTGCCTGGGTGCTTCTGCTCAGCATGTTTTCATGATTTCCCATCTTGTCCTGTGTCTCAGTAGCATGATCCTATTACTGGTGCATGGAATCCCACTGTACGGACATACCATTCTTTGTTTCTCTAATCTCCTGTTAATGGTCCCTTGGATTCTTTTGATTTTTGGCTATTATGAATAAAGCTCTTTAAGAATATTTATAACAAATCTTGGTGTGAACAGATGTCCTCATTTCTCCAGGGTAGATATCTAGGAGTGGAATTGCTGGGTTGTAATCATAAATGCAGGCTTGGCTTCATAGAAAACTGAAACTTTCCCGAGGTGCTTGTATCGTGTTATGTTCCCACCACTAGCCTACAAAATTCCAGGAGAGCTCCCATCCTCAAAATGATTTGGAATTGTCAGTCTTTTTAACTGTAGCCATCCTAACGGGTGTCTGGTTGTGTCCTGTAGATCATCTTCAAACTGGGTGAGCAGAGCCCCGTATCTGAGATCATAAAAAGCTTCTGAGGGGATTCCGCCATGCGGCACATTTCTGACATGTCCAAATTATGTGTGGAATGGACACACAGGATGGACTGAGGCTACTTACTGTATAATACTATTAACCATGAACTTGTTAAAAGGTGGAGTGTAGGTATTAATAGCATCTTTTGTTTAACCCACTGAGCCAACTAGGTGCCTCAATAGCATCTTTTGTTTAGAATCATGACATGGCCAAGGCAATGAATGCTGAACTACCACAGTAGGTAGGTCGTTGACCCAAGATCACCCCAGAGTAGCAACAGGAAGAAAATGAACAAGTTCTGACAGAGTCCTGGGAATCCAGAAGGTCATGTCTACACAGAGGGATATGTGCACGCCCTGTGCCTTATGCATGTTCGGGAAGGACCTGAAAAGCTCTAAGCTCTGGCCATTGGCTGCCTTGAGGCTCTGCAGAAGGAGGAAGGAAAGGCTGAGACAGAGCTGTAAGCTGCTTGGCTGAGTAGTCAAGGCATGGAACCTTCTATCTCACACACATGGGACCACTTGTCAAAGGCATCGAAGGAGCTATCTGTCCAATCCCGAGATGATCACTAAGCCAACCAAGCAAAGACTACAAACTTTACACAGTTCAGGAAAGGCACTATACAAACAATAATAAAAACGCCATACGGAGGGAATACGATTTCTAAAGCTGACAGAATATATTACTTAACATGTCCAGTTTCAAGAGAAAATCATGAAACTTCCAAGGAAAGAAGAAAGCATGACCCATATATGGGGGTGATGAACAGTCCCGTAGACACTGTCCCCGAGGAAGCGGAGATAGCGATCTTCTTAGACAAAGACATTAAATCAGATGTTATGCCTGTATTAAAACAACTAAATGAAACCATATTGCAAGAACTCAAAAGCAAAGCATGAAGACAATGTCTCAGCAAACATGAATGTCACTGAAGAGAAATTTTAAAAAAGAACTACAGAGAAATTCTGGAGTTGAAAAGCACAGTAACTGTAATGAAAAATTCACCAGACAGTCTCAACAACAGATTTGGGCAAACAGATGAAGGAATCAGCAAATTTGAAGATAATGTCAACTGAGACTGTCCGGTCTGAAAACCAGAAAGAGGAAGTGAACAGAGCTTCGACAGCCTGTGGGACACAATGAAGCAAACCAACATCTGCATATGCGGGGGGGGGGGGGTCCCAGAGGAGAGGAGAGGAGAGGGAAAGACACCCAAAGACAAAGTGGGTGGGAGAAATGGGTAAAGGTGGTCAAAAGGCAACACATTTCCAGTTATAAAATAAGTAGGTTATGGGGATGTAATGAACAGCATGGTGACTACAGTTAGTAATATTGTATTATATATTTGAAAGTTGCTAAGACAGACCTTTTTAATTAGCCAACATAGAGTACACCATTGGTTTCAGATGTAGAGGTAATTCACCAGCTGCACGTAACATTCAGTGCTCATCATATCATGTGCCCTACTTAATGCCCATCACCCAGTTATCCCATCTGCCCCTGCCCCCAACAACTCTGTTTCCTAGAGTTAAGAGACTCTCATGGTTAAGAAAGATCTTCAAAGTTCTCTTCATAAGGAAAAAACTAACTATGTGATGATGGATCCTAACTAGACCTGTGATCATTTCACAAGAAACACAAATAACTGAATCATTATGTTGTGTGAGACTGACAGAATACTGTACGCCAATTATGTCTCAGTGGATAAAAGACACACGTGCAGTAAGCAAGAGACAACAGATTTGTCTTGTGCAGGAGCTGGGCGACAAGATTAACAGCTGAGTCCTCATCAGAAACCATGAAGGCCAGACGCAGTGGGATGACATATTTTCTTTTTTTAAAATTTGGGATGACATATTTAAAGTAATCAAAGAAAAAGACTGCCAGTCAAAAATTCTACATAAAAGCATCCTTTCAAAATGGGGAAACTGGGGCGCCTGGGTGGCTCAGTGGGTTAAATCCTCTGCCTTCAGCTCAGGTCATGATCCCAGGGTCCTGGGACCGAGCCCCACATCTGGCTCTCTGCTTGGTGGGGAGTCTGCTTCCCCCTCTCTCTCTCTGCCTGCCTCTCTGTCAAATAAATAATAAAATCTTTAAAAAAAAAAAAAAAACAAAATGGGGAAACTAAGACAATTCCAGACAAATAAAAACTGAATGTGTCCCAAACATATACTTCACAAAAAATACTAATGGTATGTCTTCAGACTGAGATGAAAAGACACATCGCATAGGGACACCTGGGTGGCTCAGTCGATGAAGCGTCTGCCTTTGGCTCGGGTCATGATCTCAGGGTCCTGGGATCGAGTCCCGCATCGGGCTCTCTGCTCAGTGGGGAGTCTGCTTTTTCCTCTCCCTCTGCCTGCTTCTCCCCCTGCTTGTGCTCTCTCTCTCTCTGACAAATAAGTAAATAAAATCTTAAAAAAAAAAGACATCAGATAATAAATCCACATGAATAAAGAGGACTGATAAAGACACAAAGAGGCTGAAAGCAGAAGGGTGGAGAAGGTACACCATGCAAACAGGAACGAGAAGAGTCAGAGTAGCCATACTAATATCAGACGTAAAAGACGTGCGGATTACAACTGCATTAGCAACAGAGAGAAACATTCCATAATGCCATGAGTCAATCTATCAAAAGGATTTGATAACCATTACAAATTCATTTGTACTTAAAAACAGAGCCTCAAAATACATAAAGCAAAAACTGACAGAAGTGAAAGCAGAAATGTACCATTCAGGGACCAATGGAGAGTTCAGTCTTTCATTTTCAGTAACTGACAGAACTATACAGGAGATCAACATGGAAACAGAGGACTTGAAGGACACTATAAGCGGACTAGACCCAACAGACACATACAGAACACTCCAAAAAAGCAGAAAAAACACTCTTCCCAAATGCACCAATGGATCAAAGAAGTTGCAAGGAGATTTAAAATATAGATGAATGAAAATGAAAACATACCAAAACTTACAGGATGCAGTGAAAGTAGTACTAATATGAAAATTTAAGTCTGTAAACATGTATGTCAAAAAAGAAAGTTCTCAAGTGAATAATCTAACTTTCCACTTTAAGAAAACATAAAAAAGAGCAATGAAAACCAAAAGCAAGCAGAAGGACAGGAATCCTAAAGATTGAAGTGGAAATAAATAGAAATGCAGAAAAACAATAAAAAAGAATCAGCAATATCAAAAGTGGGTTCTTTTTTTTTTAAGATTTTATTTATTTGGGAGAGAGAGAGAATGAGAGAGAGAGAGCGTGAGAGGAGAGAGGTCATGGGGAGAAGCAGACTTCCTGCCGAGCAGGAAACCCGATGTGGGACTTGATCCTGGGACTCCAGTATCATGACCTGAGCCGAAGGCAGTTGCTTAACCAACTGAGCCACCCAGGCACCCCCAAAAGTGAGTTCTTTGAGAAGATCAATAAAATTAACAAACTTCAGCTAGACTGACCAAAATAAAGGCTCAAACGTCTAAAATCAGGAATGAAAGAGGACCCATGACTACCAAACTAACAAACTTAATGAAGCCAAAAGGATTATAAAGGGAATCATATGAACAAATGTAAATTGACAAGCTAGATCACTAAGATGAAATGCACAAAATCCTGAAAAATAAAAAATACTGACACTGGCTCAAGAAGAAACAGAAAATCTAACAGACATATGCAAGTAAAAAGAAAAGAATAGTAATAAGAAGTTCCCACAAAGAAAAGCCTAGAACCAGACGGCTCCACTGGTGAATTCTACCACAATGTTTAAAGAAGAATTACTGTC